GATAAGTTATAGGTGGTTTGGGATGGCCTTCATATGTACCTAGGATAAGTTATAGGTGGTTTGGGATGGCCTTCATATGTACCTAGGATAAGTTATAGGTGGTTTGGGATGGCCTTCATATGTACCTGGGATAAGTTATAGGTTATTTGGGATTGCCTTCATATGTACCTGGGATAAGTTATAGGTTATTTGGAATGGCCTTCATATGTACCTGGGATAAGTTATAGGTGGTTTGGGATGGCTTTCATATGTACCTGGGATAAGTTATAGGTGGTTTGGGATGGCCTTCATATGTACCTGGGATAAGTTATAGGTTATTTGGGATTGCCTTCATATGTACCTGAGATAAGTTATAGGTTATTTAGAATGGCCTTCATATGTACCTGGGATAAGTTATAGGTGGTTTGGAATGGCCTTCATATGTACCTGGGATAAGTTATAGGTGGTTTGGGATGGCCTTCATATATACCTGGGATGAGTTATAGGTTATTTGGGATTGCCTTCATATGTACCTGGGATAAGTTATAGGTTATTTGGAATGGCCTTCATATGTACCTGGGATAAGTTGTAGGTTATTTGGAATGGCCTTCATATGTACCTGGGATAAGTTGTAGGTTATTTGGAATGGCCTTCATATGTACCTGGGATAAGTTATAGGTGGTTTGGGATGGCCTTCATATGTACCTAGGATAAGTTATAGGTGGTTTGGGATGTCCTTCATATGTACCTGGGATAAGTTATAGGTGGTTTGGGATGTCCTTCATATGTACCTGGGCTAAGTTATAGGTTATTTGGAATGGCCTTCATATGTACCTGGGATAAGTTATAGGTTATTTGGAATGGCCTTCCTATGTACCTGGGATAAGTTGTAGGTTATTTGGGATTGCCTTCATATGTACCTGGGATAAGTTATAGGTGGTTTGGGATGTCCTTCATATGTACCTGGGCTCAGTTATAGGTTATTTGGAATGGCCTTCATATGTACCTGGGATAAGTTATAGGTTATTTGGAATGGCCTTCCTATGTACCTGGGATAAGTTGTAGGTTATTTGGGATTGCCTTCATATGTACCTGGGATAAGTTGTAGTTTATTTGGAATGGCCTTCCTATGTACCTGGGATAAGTTGTAGGTTATTTGGGATTGCCTTCATATGTACCTGGGATAAGTTATAGGTTATTTGGGGTAAGTAAGTTATTGGTCTGATTATCATCAGTAAAGCAATACATTTGTATTTTCACTGAAACTAATATTAGAAGTTGTACCATGCAATCTCTCTTGCTATTGTAAAATATTGTTTTACGTTATGCAAAAGTTTTAACTGTCACAACAAAGGTTCCTTTGTCTCTGTGTTTGCATATATGCACATCTGACCAATAAAGATATACATTTGGCAGTATTCAAACTAAGGTTATAGCCAGTGTTCTCCCCAGACTTCATGTCAAGCATCACGACCAATTTGCATAACAATACATCTAATTTGCTTAATTATATTTGCATAATAATCAGTTTTTCCCAACAAATTTGGTCAATCTACAATTAAAGATATTTTTATACCTGATAAATTTTATGTCATTTGACTGCATGTATTTTATTTTTTTGTATCAAGTCTAATAAAGTTTGAAATAGAACAGCATAAAAAGGAAAACAAATTGAAAGACTTGTTATAGCCAGTCAGTGAATATAATGTGTTATCTAAGGATGTAACTGGTTCATCATTGTGTACAATTTTTAGTGTCCATGTCACTGTCGGTTCATATAAATGTCGGGGGAAACATTTTTTGGTTAAATTTATAAAGTCGGCGAGATATCGAAATATGTTGAAATTAATAAATCAATAATTAGAACAAAATTCTACAATGGCAATTTGGCACTAATAGTCTGCGATTTTTCATTGCAATATACCTTGTGAGTAACGCTACGATCACCGTAACATTGCCAGCTGGAGGCACTGCGTTGTGCTGCTGTTGCGATCATTGGTATCTGACTTTTTGATGTAAAATACACAAATTGTTTATTAAAATGATTCATTGACTATTATCATAGGCAATACATCAAAATCGGCAACGAGATGTTGTTTTTAAACATTGCGGGAAAAACGTGCACTCTGCGCCGCCATCTTTGTTACCTCAATCAGAACCCTCTGTAACCCAGCATGCATCGGTCACAAGGTTGCAACGTGCATTATGTCGCCTTAGGGCGGCGTTCTTCGATACTAAGGCACCCTATGAATGGGGTATTTCCAGAGGTCAGGGTTCATTTTTTCTTAACCTGTCTCGTCTGCTGTTGAATTATTTACACTTTTCTTTCCAATGCGACTTAATTTCACTTGTTTTTGACTCCCATGTGCGAAGCACAAAATGGGAGTCTTTGCAGTTAGTGTGTCTGTATGTGTGTATGTGTGTATGTGTGTATGTGTGTGTGTATGTGTGTATGTGTGTCCGACTGTTCCACTGCTATCTCAAGAACCATACATCGGTTTTTGATGAAACTTGGTGCATAGATGCTCTGGGCCAATGCGCAGATTTGATTAGGTTTTGGTAAAAATCCATGCTCGTTAATTACCTAATTTGCATGATAATTAGCTAATTTTTAGCTGTTCTATGACTGTTCCACTGATATCTAAAGAACCACTCATTGGATTTTGATGAAACTTGGTGCATAGATGCTCTGAACATATGCGCAGATTTGATTAGGTTTTGGTAAAAATCCATGCTCGTTAATTACCTAATTTGCATGATAATTAGCTAATTTTTAGCTGTTCTATGACTGTTCCACTGATATCTAAAGAACCACTCATTGGATTTTGATGAAACTTGG